CCAAGTGCAAGATCTTGCACCTGCCCACAGCATTCACACATTCCCATGAGCTGCTGCCTTTTCCCCCTCCCCACAGTACCATGAAACCTGCTCCTGCTTTCTGCCACTGACCTGCCTAAGCACAGGCAGAACCCTTCTAAGCAAGTGCCCTTGCCAAAACCTGTTTTCCTCACTAGACATTTCTTCCCGGGCAATTCTTCCCCTCAGCCTCAGGCTATGATGCCATCACACAATCTAATGCTGCAACTTGCAGAAAGCAGAAAGGCTGCAGCCACATCCCACCCCTGTGGTGCACAGACCACCCCCTGCTTCCTGCCTGGCCTTTTAACACAGGTGACATACAAAACCCAAGGGATTTGAACAAACTGCAAAATATGGCACCTGCAAAGCAACTGTTCCTTGGTGGCCTCTGGCAGGGGCTCAGAGGACACAGCTGGAGACTGTAACTTCTTCAGCCACACCCCAAGAGAAAACAGGTTATTCCTTCATAAAGGCTTTGTTTGTACTGCAGAATCTTATGATTGCAAGGGCAAACCCTGAAACAAACCTCACCTGCCCAGGTGATCAGGGTGGGTGACATTTGCTTCCCAGCACACATTATTAGTAGGTACACAAAAGATCATTTTCTGTTCCAATACAACAAGCACAAGAAAGGTCACTGTGTAGTGCTGTATTTTCAAGGTTACCACTGTATTTTGGAGGACTGTAAAGACAGAAAGATCACAGGGGCAAGGCATGATCAGGAGTCTGCTGAGGGATAAAAACTTTAACCACAAACATTGCTGCAGATCAGCCTTCATTATAGATGGAAAACCATGATCTACCTACCTGCTCTTGCATTCTTGGATGTCTGCATCTCTACACAAACCTGAGGGGAACTCCAGCAGTACTGAAGATTTAAAACTCACTGGTGCTAGAGAATTTAGAAAATCTGTAACAGCTTCTTTTTAAAAGTAACATACTTGCAGCAGAACTCTGCTAATTTTGAATGACTTTCCAGTTTATTCACAGGAAAGTATGCTAATGTATACTCACCACAAAATGCTTCTTGAATCCTTCGTAATTTCTCAAGAAAACTTCTCACATTATCTTTTCAGTCCTGGAGAGTGACAACACAGATGATAATATTTAAAATGTTAAATATTCGTATTTTATGACTTGTGAAACTAGGAAGAAGAACTTCCTATAGAAAGAATCTTTCCAGAATATATATATGAGAAGTAGAAAATGCATCATTTTTGGAGTAGGGAGAGGAATCCAAAGTCTAGATTTCTGTACTGAGAACCCATGGAAGCACACGCCTTGATAAAGGTATTACACATACCTGAGTGCAAAGGTAGCCATGATTACTTTGTAATCATCCTCAGTGAATACAGAGCAGAGGAGAACTTGCACATTTGCTTCTCTGGAAAACTTTCAGAACTCTAGGTTTGCAAAGCTCTGCGCAGCAAAAGCTTCAAAGATGCTTAAGTACAGATGTCATAAACCACAGAAAAATGTATTACCAGAGATGACAGAACTGAAGCATAAACCTCCACAAATATTTGAAAGGCTGCAGGACCTAAGATAAAATTGTGTGTGTCTGAAACTAAAGAGCAGCTATAGGAAAAAATATGTCTGGAAACTAATTCACTGTGCTGGGACTTAAATGCTGGTTTTGGAATCCATCAAGAGCAACCTACCAGGTACTTTACCAACACACATCACCCTTTGGCCCCATAGGGAAGGGCCTGTCAGCCCATGAGCAGCCTGCCCAGCTGAGGTCATTGCCTTGTCCTACCACCTTTTACCCCTTTGCAAAAGTAACAGCTTCCAGACAATGTTGAAATCTAAGAGCCTGAGCAGAAGTTCAGCAAATCAAGGTCCCAGATAAGCTTTATTTTTCTACCAGAAAAGGGATCAGGTCATTGATTAACTGGGAAGAAGCCTATGTCCCAGCAGTACAACTATCTTTTCTCAATATAATAAACATACTGCTTTTAGTGAAAGACTGGGAGGTCGTTATTACAAAAATTATTCTGCTTAGCAAATTCTGACAATCTCTTTCTCCCTTCCTTCTCAAATCCTCAAGTCAAACAAGTCATTTTTTTCCTTTTAATCTCTTCCCTTCTCCCACCTGGGCATGTCGTCTAGGTAAGCACAGCTTGCCAGAAATGCCTGAAGAACACTGACCAACAGCCAGTCTTGCTGAGCTTAACAGATTACTTGACTGGAACACCATCATGGAATAGGTGACATCAAAAGACAAGCAGCATTTTGGAAAAAACAGAAATGGAAAAATTAGGGCTAACAGTAAGACAGCTGCACATGAAGTCCCCATGGCTGACTCTCACTGGTGGTTAAAACACAGGGAGTTCAGTAGATTGTGGAGATCTTGGGCTATTGTGTAAAGGGGTTCCTAGCAGAGGCAGGGAAGAATTACAGTAGGTGCAACTAACATGCACCTACCCTGATAACCTGTGGTGAGTCCAGCTGTGGGGTCCAAACACACATCAAAAAAGTAATCAGATATAGAAATAATTCAGCATTTAATTCTGGAAAGGTTGCCTCAAGTTCAATTTCTGTGTGCTAGAAAATGGGTGGGGAAGAGGCCAGGTGAGCAGGAACACTTTTCACCATCTCCTAACAATGGCACACTTTTGTGACTTGAACAAGTCTATTATGTCTAAATTTCATTTTCCTTTGTGCTCTAGGCCGCCTTCAAAGTTTCTAACAGATGCCACTGGCTTCCCAACTTAAAATAAAAAGATAAGCATAAATTTACTCAAGATTAGCTTTAACAATATTTGTTTGGGGTTGCATAACTTCTAATGAAAGTGTTTTCTACCACTGTTGGTGTTTCATAATGATTGCTGGAAAGGGAAGTTGAGTGCTGTACTCGGCTTCCACCCCACTGCAAGGTTTGATCAGGCCTACATCAACCTAACACCTGCTCAGACTTCAGCAGGTACAGAGCAGTTCTTAAACACAAGTACAATCAATTGTTAGAAAGGCAATCACATTGTTGCAAACTGAAAAGCAATTCAGTACAGCATCTGGGGAATTTTATTTAGGAATAAAGCATAACTAGAATATGAAACAAGCATTCAAAGTCAGAGAAGAAATTAAAGTGCTTGCTTTAGAGTAAATTAGAAACACTTTTCAAAGGTGTAGGAATGCAACAAATACAACTGTGTGTGGTACTTTCTCTTCAGTAATGAACAAGTGAATTTGATATCTTAAAAATGTACCTTAAACTTCATTCACTCTATGGTTGAGCTCAACATGAAGTAACTCACTTGCTAATCCAAGAGACTGTAATTATACTGGAAGAAAAAAGGCTGGAGGTAATTGCTGACTAGAAAACTTTGTTACAGAGTCACTTAACATCCCAAAAGTTTTCCCAGTACTTGGTATCATCTTGTTCAGGAGGCCACTAATTAGAAATCAAACTCAAGAAGCAAAGGAACAAAATTCATGTCCACATTTCTTTTAATTTTACTCAGAAATATAAAAGTGCAAGTTCTGTAAATTAACAACATTTACAGTACATCACAATAAATATGCCACCTGGTGACATCTAAAAATTCTAGTTATTTATCTGAAATGAGTTGTACTGAGATAAAAACTGCATCAACATCAACAAAAAATACCTGTCCCAGTAAAGATGGCCTTAATATATTACTTAGCAAGATGCATATTCCATTATTGCTATTAGACCATGCCTCCGAGTTCCACAGTATAAAAACTTACTAGTTTACACAAAAGACCATTGATTTTTTTTTTCTCATCACAGGCACAATCTAACATAAAAAATAATTTTGCCATATACAGTGTAGGAGGGTCTCCTACAAGGAGGGGGGAGGGAAAAAGTAACTAATACAGAAACATACAGTTGTGATGATTTGCTAAGCCCACAGGAAAGCTGCACTTTGCACAGAGTTATTGAACTGTTACATGAACATATAATGTCTTTCTATACCCACTCCTGGCCTGGTGAGAACAGACCTTTTAATAAATTTACTACAATTTTCTAGCTACCTCCAAGTATGCAGACTCTAAATATCCCAACACAAATTGCATGCAGGTGCTTTGTGTCCTGAACAGCCAAGTCTCACATCATATTTAAGGAGTGTATTTAAAAAGAATTTTGCCAGTAGCTGCACCATTCCCAGCTATTTACCCAGAACAGACTGTCTGATTGAAAAACATTAAAAGTCAGATAGGACAAAATAAGATTTCAAGTACATTAAAGCCCATTTTTAAAATAATTATTTGAACTCTAAGCAGTCACTATATACATATACAATATATCATTTTCTAGTCAATATTTATTTGGATTGACCAAATAAGGTTGAACACCCATTTATGACTCAGTATTACTGTCAAAGTGGAATAAAAAAATCCCAGTGTACTACCTGTAACACACCTAGATTATACAAAAATAAAACTGCTTTATAAAGAGTTCCTCCTCTCCTTCAGGAACTGCAACAGAAGTGTTAAACTGCTCTAGGAATGCCTTTCATAGCAGAACTATGTCTTTCCAGAGAGAAATAAAAGTGTCTCAACCATTTCATTTGGCCTACCAAACAGGACATTACTTCTCTCCTCCATATCAGTCTTGCTTTAGATGTAACCTCAAAAGCAAATCAATGAAGGTTAGGTGTGGGCAAAGTCTAGAACTTTGGCAACATGCTCTACAAAAAGGTAAGAAGAAACAAAAAAAGCTTAAGCTAAGGAACTGTTTAAGGCAACCTGACCAAAGTAAAGATAAGGCTTTTGGATAACTATTTCCAAGGATATCCAGTTTTCTTAGCTTTGCAAAGTAACACAATTCAACTAACTTTACGGTCAGATTTCCATTCATAACCTTCTGCTTCTTTAAAAAAATATTTACCTTCCTAGAATATAATATTAGCTGAATATAAAACATAAGGAAATACTACACATTAAGGACAAAAGTAAAAAAAAGCTACAGATAAGCACACTGATGGCCAAGTATTAGAAATTATATGGTCATGACAAAAGTTTCAGGCTCTCTGAGGTATTTCAATAACTTGACATCACAGGCTTGAAATACTACACAGAGACTGAAGGTATTGTAATATTGGTGTAACTGCCAAAGCAGTTTTGTGGGTTGGCATTTTTTTTGGTTGTGGATTTTTTAAATACCTTTAAAGGTCACTGCTGTAAGGATCCAGCAGCTTGAATGAAAAACATGTAAAATCTTAATATGATACTCAGAATGTAAGAGCCGAAATAAGAACTGCCCAAGCAGTAGCTGCATGTCAAAGGATTTGTCTGGAATGTACCAGAAGCAAAGAACTTAAATATTGACATCATTGATATCACAAATATGAGCTGGGTTGGGAGGAAAGGGATAAAGAACAAAAGGGGGTGAGAAGTTTAAAATTCACCATTAACCATCATGAGGTAACTGGAAAAAGCCACTAAAAAGTAAGATTTGCTTTTTGTGGCTGAACAGTTTTCCTCCTCTTCCTATGTGCTGGCTAATACCTGGAGAAAAAGGAATACTCTGACCACTTCCAACCTCAACATTTAAACCAACTACTTATGTTGCATTATTCTAATTAAACCAAAAGTGTTCCTCCTGGCAAATTTTACATGAAGACCTGTTTTAAAAGGTAAAAATCAACCTTGCCAATGTTGTTGAAGTAAATAATGTGCTTATTTAGGCTCACCCACAGAGTTACAAGTAATTGTGTTCAGCTTGGTTTGAACAAAATAAAAAATGAAGAGTTAAAAACACAAGGTCACTTAACCTTCTTCCTGGTTGATTTACCTTTAGTTAAAATTGTAATGTTTTTACTCAGCCATACTAGGAAAGTGTCTCTGGCACAAGTGGTTTTCAGAAGAAAAGCTGGACTTCCCAACAGCTCTTTCTTCTGCTTCATCCTAAAGTGCAGGAACTGTGGGAAAGGATAGCAAGCCTTCCTGATGGTCACTGTGGAACCACTTCCCTTAGAGAGGCTAAGGCTGCGTGTATGCGGACGTGCAATCTGTTCTCAAAGTCATAGCCAGTAAATTCCTCCTGGGGAAAAAAACAAGGAAAAAACCCCAAACATACACCTATTAGCCTCCTTCACTTCAGGATATGCAGATAATTTTGCTATTAAAATCATGTTACAAAAGTGTCCAAAGAAAAGAGGTGAGCTGGCGACTGTATGTTGCAATATCCCCATATTACCCACAGCAAGGGAATTATTACAGAAATTCCAAGTTGGTAAAGAGGGCAGATTGAAACTCATATAGTTGAAGAGCACCTGAAGGGTTCTACTAATCCAAAAGCTCCAGAAAATCCCAACAGGCCCAAGGCAGGAACCAGGTGGAACACACAAGGAATGGAGAATTGTAATTTTCAAAATTTCTGTAGCCAATTGTTGCTTGAAAAACTTATCAAGGTTCTAACACTTGCAGGAGCTGTCAGTGACGTGGGCTCTGTGTGATGGCTGACCTAGCAGCACAAACCTATGGAGTACACATAAATGTGTACCATGCACATTAATGCACATCCACACGACAGGAGTTGTAGATTACAGATGAGGGACACCACCACTTAACACCCACTCCCCCTTTCCCAGACCCCTGGAAACACAACCTCCCAAATGCCCTTTTATTTTAGACAATTAAACTAGAAAATGTCTTAGTTTTTACCTTGGCTTGGAGCAGTAAGGTTTTGCCTCTTGGCACAGTCTACAAAAAGACAAACATTGCATTGGAAACACATCACAAATGTTACAGAATATACTTTAAGTAAATGAGCTGGTGAGATGGAATAGCATCTCTACCTTTGAAAAAGGTACTGAGCAGACAAAACCCTCTCAAATTAGGAAACTGGAAATACTAATGAGGCACCCAGGAAAAGCACTTTTATGTATTTCTAGTCCTCTACAGAAAAGGTGAAATTAAAGAAACTACAAAATCCTATTCCCTTCTCTTTCTTAACCATTATGGAGCTCTAGCACAGCACCCCAGCTACTAAATGAAATTTTGTATAAACAGGAGTCAGTCACCTCTAGCTCCAGCTCTTGCTTTCCCCCACCCCATCCCACTTTGTTGAAGTCAAGCATCATTTCCCTCCTCATTTTCTGAGTGCCACGAGAGGGAGTCTCCTCCACATCCTTCATACACTAAACGCTACCACAGCTCCTCCAGCTGAGGCTGGTTCAGCCCTCAAACACCCTACATGGGGCACATTCAGCTACTGTGTGCACACACTGCATGTAAAGCAGGAGGAAGGAAGGACTGCTCTCATGTTCTTCAAGTCTTAACATGCCTTCACTACCCACATTTTTGAGGTTTCTTTTAGAGACACTTGAGGTGATCAAATTTAAACATGAACGCGGAAAGAAAGAAAGGCAGCAGGAACTGTTATGGAACTCAGACCTTCCTTCCAGGCTCCAAAGCCCAGCTCTTAGTCTTAGGGCAGCAGGGTTTTCAAAAAGAAAATTAGTTTTAAAAGCATTTTCTAGTTCTGTCCTTTGTCATAATAATTTTCTTTATTGAAAGACTTTCCTCTCCTTCTCCCTTTAGGGAGAAGGCTCAACCCTAACTAAATGTGACAACAGCAAAACCAACTGGAAACAGAATCTTAAGAATATGAAATACTTTCAGCTCACTACTTCATAGACCACATACAGTGAAGGGGAGGTTCAAGTGACTACCCTGTGACCACTTCCCCCCTAACCTGCCATCTGATTAACAACAGAAGGTGGCATAAACTCCAAGGACTGGGGTTACACATTTGAGGAGAGAAATGGCACCAAGAGTGCTGCACAAGCTGCTCTGGTTTAAGATTCTCTGAGGTAGGGTATGTGCAAAGACCTGAACAATTAAATGTACTGTCAGCCAAGCCATTTGGGTAATCTGAAAGGGAGGTGGATTATTTTCTTCCACATCCTGAAGAACAAAACCCTCACTACTCAGGGTGGAAGTCAAAATGCCCACATAAACAGCTTTAATGGAATTTAAATGACTAAAAAGCCACTTGCTATTTCAGGAAGGCATCAAATTCTGTTTGGAGAGGATAAGTACAGGTGAACTTTGAATGGCATCCAAGAGGATATTAAATAGGTAAGAAAAGGACCCTAGGCATCTACCACACTAAATACCACCTGCAGACAAGAAATCCCTGCCTACCCAAGGAATTCTGGTGAGGCCTTTGTTGCCACCAGCACCAGGAACACTCTCAATAGTACAAAACTAAGACACTGTGACATAAAACTCATTGCATTTCTTGGATTGAATCCCCATCCCCCACAAAGTTGTAGGTTTCTTTATGGTAGGTATAAAACATATTTTTAAAGCTTCATCTGCACAGTCACCTACAAACTTTGTTTCATTCTTTGCATACTGGTATGTTGACTCCTTCCACTACTTTCATAAGTGTAAAAATAGATCATGCTATTACCTCTGGATTGTCCAACAGGATACAGCCAAGTTCATAGCAAGCATATGGCTGGACATACAAGTTGCTTTGACGGCAGAGTTCATCTTTAGCAGCTCGCTGAAAGTACTGTAAAAAGGAAAAGAAAAAAAAGAAAACAAAGGTGGCAGAGGTACATTAAAATTGACTGGTCATTACTTCCAAACAATGCAGTAGCACCATTCAACTTCAATCTGTAGAAATTAGCCAAAACTAAAATGAGAATATATTAAAAATTTACAATGGTGTAAATTCCTAGATGTTTTTACCAACACTACTGTATCAAGACAAAACTATTAGTTTGGATTTTTACCAAGTATTATAGTGACTGATTCAAGAGGTTTTCCAACTTAACATTTAAAAAAATATTAGCTCTAACAAGAAACCATGACATCAAAGATGAAGTACCCAGATTATTTAAGGTATGTGAGAGAGAAATGGGGCAGGGGGAAGGAGGGTTTAAAGCCAGCATCTTGCTACTTATATGAATAACATTCTATTTTGGGGAGGAAAAAGGAGAGTTGTAACTACAGTTCAAAACCTGGAGTGGTGGCAAAATTATTCTTTGGTATGTGATAATAATCAAACTCCTCTCTCTAACATGTCCAGAGAAGAAGCAGCAAATCTGTGCCTTCAAAAGGTCAATCTCTAAGTCACTTTAAAAAAAATTAATTTTCTTTGATGGACAAAGTACATCTAGCAGAGAAAAAACTTTTATTCTTCCCAGCTTCCCCTTAACTCTTGTTACTACAAACCACTTTACTGCCATGTTCATTCAACAAAGCCAATTACTTTCACAGCACAGAATATAATGAAGACATGTTAAATCAGAAAATTTTAAAAGAAATTCTGTTCGAATTCACAAACCAGAATGATCAGTGGCACTGAAAAACTAATGACTTGCTGAAAACTCTTACTGAAAAGTATTCACTATTTTTAAAAGAATTGTTTATAAAATAGGAATAATGGAGGAAATTATCATTTAACTACTTACCTGAACAGCATCTTCAGAATTTCCTAAACATTTGTGTATGGCACCAAGAAGCAAATTCCTCAAACCAGCAGCTGATGAATCATCCACATCATGACAAGCTTAATGAAAAGATTCCAGTAAACAAGGTGGATTGAAATACTTTCTTAGACAAGAACTGTGATTTACATTGCCTTTTAGTCTGATATTTAAATTTTGCCAGAAAAAGCAGACGCTAGTAACATTATTAGAAAGAGAAGTAAGTTGTTTTCTTTTAAATACAACCCATTCTGTATGAACCTCATCAAGAAATTTATCACTCATGAGAGCAGTTCTAACAGGAATGAATGGGTTGAAGTCAAAGGCAGTTAGTGTGTTCTTCTCAAGAAGAGGATTGATCTCTACTGGTCTTTGAAATGTCCACTAAAAGGTATACTTAAAAAAAAAATCATCTCATTCTGGTGTTACAGGACACTGGTTAGTCCCACATATTGAAAGAAAAATACACAGTCCAAGTTAGAAGGAACATAGGGCAAGCAATTCAAACAAACCCGAGTTTTTCTAAACTGAAGCCAAGTGACAGATGCACAAAAATTTGTACTGGACTCAAGAACCCAGTCTAGAGTGTTTTGGCAATTCTCACAATTCTCAGTGATGATGGGAGGATAAGGTAATTTGCCAGACCTTAGCTGGTCCACAATCTGGGGACAGACTGTGTCTCAGCTGAGTAGTGTGCTCTGTTTCCAGGAAAAACTGAATCACAACGCATGGAACCCTTTCTAAATGAATCAGACTCCATTTTGATCAAGCTTATCAGTGCCAGCTCTGCTAAATCAAGGTGAGCTCCACAAGGAGCCATTTGCCCTTCTCCACACCAGCACCTCCAGGAAGGAGAGTACAGGGCTTTTCATCTCATAACTGCTGTGTCTGGAGCAGTGCAGCTCCTTAAAACATTTTGCCTCAAAGTATAAACCCTGCCAGATCTTAACCATCTCTCCATTCACAACACAAATAATCCACAATCCTAAAAGCCACCTATGGATAGAGAACTATAAGGTGGCTTCATGAAGTCTTTGCATTGTCAGTTCTTGTGTGGATTACAAGTCTCAAGTTATTTGGCATTTTACTTACAGAGATACAAGTGGATACAAATTAATTCCTTTGAATTCTAGCCTTGAGGAAAAGCCTGGAAATTCACTCCAACTAATTACAATCCAATTGTTCATGACAAGAGGAAACAAATGTGGGGAAAAACCTGTTATTCACGTTTTTGAAATACACATAAGGTGCAGAAATAACATTCACTGTACAGAAAACTTTCAACCAGGGATGGCTGATGCAGATATATTTGTCAGTGTCAAACTCACAAGCAATGTATCTCTGAATTTGAAGCCATACTGCTATTTCACATTAAAATGTGAACCACTGACTGGAAGCTTACACAAGGGAGACCTACACTGCCACTGAGTGTGCAGGAGAGAATACATACTCCTTACACCCTCTAAAGCTGACCATTCTGAAGGCAAATGACAGCAAAAAAAAAAAAACCCTCAAATTTATTTTGATGTAAGTAAATCTGATTTTAAAGCCTACCATTACCTTTGTGACTAGACAACTAGGAATCTGACTATAATCCACTGCAATCATGCAATTTAAAAGGACAAGTTATCTCAAATTAAAACTGGAACAAACACCCCAACTAGTCCTGACTCTTGACTTAGAGACTGGAGTCTTCTAGCACAACATGAAAATTGTTTATAATCCCCAAAATTCCACGATTACAAAAAAAAAAAAAAAAAAAAAAAAAAAAAAAAAAAAAAAAAAAAAAAAGGCAAGCCGTGGCAGACAATTTTAGTTTTATTTTCTAAATGAGCAAGTAATAATCAGAGGATTTTAGAATGGTTTGGGTTGGAAGGTACCTTAAAAACCATCTAGTTCCAGCCCCCTGCCATAGGCAGGGATACCTTTCACTGCACCAGGTTACACAGAGCCTTGTCCAGCCTGGAACACTCCCAGAGATGGGACATCCACAGCTTCCCTGGGCAATCTGCTCCAGTGCCTCACCACCCTCACAGTAATTTCTTCTTAATATCTAATCTAAATCTGCCTTCCTTCTGTTTAAATCTATTCCCTTGTGTCCTGTCACTCCTGCCCTTACAAAAAGTCCCTCCCCAACTCTCTTGCAGGTCCCCTTTAAGAACTGAAAGGTCCTCTAAGGACTGCCTGAAGGCTGCTCTTCTCCAGCTTGAACATCCTAAACCCTCTCAGCCTGACCTCAGAGGAGAGGTACTCCAGCCCTCTGATAATCTGTGTGTCCCTCCTCTGGACCCACTCCAACAAGTCCATGGTGGAGCGGGTCCAGAGGAGGAACACACAGATTATCAGAGGGCTGGAGCACCCCAGATCTGGACACAGCACTCCAGGTGGGATCTCACCAGAGCAGAGCAGAGGGGCAGAACAACCTTCCTGGACCTGCTGGCCACAGTCCTTCTGATGCAGCCAATGGGCTGCCAATGCAGGTTAGGTTGAGCTTCTCTTCAACCAGCTTGAAACTGTTTGCAGAATGCCAACAAGAGTGATTGCTGGATGGAGTAAGAAGCACTGAACACTTCATAATACACACTGCTACAAGAAGCTTCACATGACAGACACCCAAAGTCAGCTGGAGACTAAGGAAGAGGCAACCACTCACCACTAAGAGGGACCCAGGACAAAGAGAACACCTATCATGTCATAGATAACCTCACAAGCTAACTATTTCCTCTTAGAAGAAAACTGACGTGCAGGAATGAATACATTGTTTTAATTTTTTTCCTATTTTGTTGCTAGGTTTAAATGAGTTACATTTTGCTTAGTGACTTGGAACAGTAACTATCATGCTACTGTTTCATTTTAAACAATGATTAACAAACAGCTATATGCAGCGGGCAGTTACAACTTCTCCCAAAAACCTGTAAAAATTAAGCATTAGGCAGAATCATAATGGGTCACTATTCTTTTGTTACTCACCTGTATTTTGCTATGACACATGCACACAAGTTAAAATGTCCATGCTACTGCAATTAGCTACTCCACACAACAGCACAAAATCATACATCTCATTTTAAAATGTAAATAAATAAATCAAGGAGCCATATATACCTTGACTCATATGCTGTAAGTTCGAGAGGGAACAGTTTGGAAGGGCTTTCCATAAGTATAACACTTCAATGGATGCCAGGACACAGAGCTCTTTGGTTGGTATTTGTTTCCTAAATCTATCTGCCTGCAAAGTGCAAGAAAGAAGGAAGGGAGATCTGTAATTTTTTTCTTCAGAGGGAACATGATATTTACAAACAATATATCACAAACACTAATTTTAACTGTTTTAAACAGTCACACAACAATTTTATGAAAATAAAGTCAGTGGTAACTTTACCTAAAGATTTTATGACTAAAAATTAAAATCTTGCAACTAATTTAAGAGCTTACATATTCATCAAAATTAAAACCTCCTTGTATGCAGCCTGACTGGATTTTACTGTATTTCACAGTCCCAACACAAACTGCCTGGATGCTGAGACAGTACCATCTGCAAGATAACCAGTTGAGAGCTATTTCCTAGACAACTCCTAGCTCTCAAAAACAACTAAGGCTATCACAAACAAGACAAGATAAAAAGGAGTAAGAAAGGCAAAGCCAGAAGGAAAATTACCAAAGCAACTACAGTATCATGTATTTTTATCTGTAATAGTTACTTTGCTTGTAGAGTGAATAGCTAATTCACACTTCCTTTGTTAGGTCCTTCAAATGATACTATTATTTTTCCACACTGTTCCTTCCCACAAATTCTACAGAAGCAGGACAGCAGAAAAGAGATGCATGCTGCTAAAGAAAATACTGAACTAAAAACTGAACTGTCATCAGTGTACTAAAACAAGTCAGCCTATGCAAAAACTAACCTTTTTCACTGAAAATTGTTCAATCTGATTGTTTTTTCTCTTGAAAAGCTTCTGAACTTCCTTGAACACATTCTGAGCACCATTGACATCACCAGTGGCTCCTTGACACACTGCAAGGAGTGTCAGAAACAAAAATACATTAACAGAAACAAAAATACATTAACTGTACTGGGATATGAAACAGGAAAAATTAGGATGAGCTATCATATGGTCAGAGAGAAAAACCTCCACACACTCACTTCCAGAAAGTTATCTACACTGAAGATTTGACCAGCATGGTAATCTCAACTCCCCCAGGTACCCTCTGTGTTCATTAAAAAGTCAGTACTATTTTTTACATCCATTAAAGGAAGTAATGCCACCAAGCTTGTGAAGTGGTAATAATTCTATCAGCACGGAGAGGGGTGTACAGACAGGCAGGTACATGTATGAGCATGCAAGTGTTCATTATGGAAACAAACACAATTGTCCAAGTCAAGCCTGGCACAAAGCTGCATGTGCAGCAGGCAGTGTGGAAGGCACTACATGCACCAGCAAGTTTCCCAAGAGAAAACACTGCCAAAACCTTACCACATCACTGACTTACCATTTCCCCAACAGCCTGGATTTACTCACCTGCTGTTAAATAAGCATAGTAGCACTGGGACCACCTGGATTCATTTTTAAGCCTTTCGAAGGATTCAAAGGCGTCTTTGAAGTTCATCTCTATCATGCTGCACCAACCTAAAAGCAACACTGATTTAACTTCAGGGGAAGTACAGTAATTCAAACTTGGTGTCAACATGATTGAAACACACAATTCTGTTGTGTTTGTTTTGTTACGAGAGCTGGAGCACGTTTAACAACTATAAAAGTAACTGGAAAATTAAAAACAAAAACAAATGATATACATTTAAAATCTGATTTAAATTTACTGGGACATTTTGAATTAGAAGATTCCATAGGAAATAATTAATCCACATTTCAGAGCAGGAACAAAAACATATACCAAAAACTCTCAGTTTTAAAATTTAAATACTACATTTTGTAGAATGATGAAACTTAGACAGCTACTACTTTTTCCATTAGTATTTTCTACTATGACAAGATCCCATTTAAAGCTTGAAGCAACCTATCTTCTCCACTATAAAGACTTGTATGCAAATTAATACCATATATCATATCCTGCTATTGACAGAAGGAAATAAACAAGAAATACAGACACTGTGAACTCTGAAGCCTCCAAACTGATTAGTTTTTGGCACAGAAATGATGAATCCATAGACAAGTCAGATGAATTTATTTCTAATTTTAAATCATACTCAGTAGGCTAACAGTTTGCCCTTAATTCCACAGTCTACTCTCTGATTTTGCATCACCTTGTACTTGCAGATAATTTTATTATGAAAAAGTGCTGAATTCTACTTGTCTAAACAAGTAGAATTCAGTAAACCATAATTTACCCAAGACAAAGGCCAGTAATCTAAAACCTTTTTTAAAAATCCTAGTAAGAGGTCTCCAGTTTGTTTACTGAAGCTGCCAATGAAAACTTGAATATGAGCTATTTATGGTGTAAACACATCCAACATACCTATTTCATATAAGCAGACGTGTTGAATCTCCCTTTGGTCTGTTGCAAGTTCCAAAGCAGTATGAAATGAGGTCAAGGCACTATTAATTTGACACTAACAAAGGTGAAAGAAAAAGAAAAAAATTCAGACACCTGAAATTTAAAATGAGTTGGATAATTTAATATTGATAAAGAAAAATTCGTATTTCTTCTAATAGGAAGTTAATAAAAACTAGAGTAGAGGAGTTTAATAGTGTAATAGCAGCCAGGTCAGATCATGTCTCCACCTTCAACCTTTAAAATCAGTGACTATATTCCTCCTATGTGCTATTAAGTCCAAAATTCATTGGGTTTGTGCAGTAAGCTTTTAAGTAATCTCACTTCTACTTTTACTAGTCATTCCACCTTTAAAAATCATATTTTTAACATCTGCTAATGAAGTTTGGCTTTCTGCACAAGAGGATACCTTTAGTGTTTGATTTCATTTATTTTGAACTTTTCACCTCTTCCCATACACTTCAGAAACCCCTTCAAGCAACAATTAATAGAGAATTCATAAATGCTGTATGACACATAAGAAGATAAAAAAGCATATGAGAGAAAAAGCATTTTGATAAAATCATTGGCTAACAACAGCTTAGCAAAAAGAGCTGACATTTTCCTAGGAACTAGAATGACAGCTCTTTTGACTACCTGGTTTTCCCAGTCTGGGATGGGACTTCTCCCTATCAATCATTATGGGGGGGAACAAAAATCACTATTTAATTAAACATACTATATATTCCAATATAGCCTATACCAGCCTTAATACTGTTCCTGTATTTATCACATACATTTATTATACTTTATACAACAGAAGAATTTTTAAGCCCCACTCTGCTGACTAAGCATGTGAGCAAAAGAAACCCTTGAAAATGCAAACTCACCATCTATGCCAACATAACTGAATTTAAAAATTCCTACAAAAATCTACAGCATTGTAGCTTAAGACCAGGCACACACAGAGCTCTGAAATGATTGTATTGTATTATCTCTAACTCTCTGAATCTCTCACATGTTTTGACATCTGCCTAAGTTCTCCTTCAGCATCAAGCTTATTTAAGTATGTTTCAGAGACATTCATTAATAATTGAAGTTTCAATCATCTCCAGGGATTGCAGCAACATCCTGGAATATGAATTACTACTCTTGGTGTTAATTCTTAAATTAATTATTACTTTCTGTTTACTGCTTAAAAGAGCAAAGAAAAATAATTACAACATCCTAAGAGTCGGCAAGTGTAACATCCTGGCTGCACCTGAAATTGATGCTCTTGAAATTTATAAATATATATACACACACTTGTAATTCTTTCAGTAGGTATCACTGACATCTCTTTTGGACATAATACAAAGACAAAAAAAGACCAACCCATAAAATATGTAGTATACAGAACTACAAGACCATAAAGAGGATTAATAAATCTAATGTGAGAAGAAGCCTACATTTCTGGACTTCAGATTAAAACTAAAAGCACCCCAACCCAACAACTAAGCATCTATGGAGCTTACCAAGACAATTTGGCTTCGCAAGACAGCATGCATTTATTTCCCAGAGCTGTTCTGAAATCTCAGGACCCTTTCCTTCTCTATTCTCAATCACCACTCTGAATTCATAAAGCTTTTAAGAAGTCATGCTCAGAAATAGGGAAAAATTAAAAATCAACTTCTAAAAGCTAACAATTTACACCAGAGGACATTATATGGATGTTCCAAAGCCTGTATTTTCTATTCCTTAACACACTAAAACTTATTTCTCCTTAGACAAGTCAGAAAATCAAACTAGAATAAAATTAGGATATTTGTATTTTATAGGAAAAAGTAACTAGAAAAGTCAGCACAATTCCTGAAAATAAACCTTGATATTATGTATGCACTGCAATTTTTTTTTACTTTAGACACTACCGTGATTTTCTTCCAGAAAGTTCATTTAAGACTTCTCAATGCTTGTTATTACTCTTGTCCTCAGTCTGCTTTTCTGCACCATACCCTCTCACCCCTAAATAAGAATGATGGTGCTGATACCATAACACCTACAAAAGGTAACTAACAAGCAAGAGGTGCTTGTAGGCATTACATTTAAGCACATGTTACCACTGCACATTTTCTGCAGCCTGCTCATCAACCAAACTTCAGCACATCTGAAAGTACCATGGGTGCTCTGCCTGTCACCTGCAGTATTTGGTACTTTTTCCTTCAGACTATTTACCTGCACCTACCCCAATGGAAAATGTGAATCAAGCCTCAGAACCTGAGGGGTTTTTTTGCAGTTTTGCAGCCAGAGATTTCCTGTTGTTTATATATTACATATATTTTGAGGCTGGAATATGTGCCACATAATCACAAATCAAGCACAGAAATGTCCATAAAAGCAGCCTTAGTAAATTATGCCAAACTCAGTAAAAATACTATTTTTAATACACAGTCTCTTAACCTACTCTTTGGAAAGAAAAAAGACATTTGATCAACCTAGGAATGCAACCTTTATGTTTCTGGTGCACTTTCATTCCAGTCTTTCCAGGATCTTCCTTTCCTTTCCCTTAACTTGCCCAATTCAAAAGTCTCCAAATGCTTTCAGACTTTTCTCTTGAAAATGTGAATCTGGGAAAAAAAAGCTGATAGATAATCTGCTCCACATTTATCACACCTGTAAGGCTACTTCTTCAAAAACTGAAGTCCGCAAAGGGTTTTACTGACTAATATCCATGCCTGCTTTTTGGGGCACAAAGCATTATTCAGTCCCATGCTGTTCATTTGTCTTTTATAGACAGGAAGGTTTCACAGAGACAGTGCTTTCTCCTTGACTGCCTTCCTTGGCAATTTTCTCCTTTGTCAGATTTGTGTCTCACTGTCCAGTCCTGAATTACTGCTTCTGCCTTTTGAACAGTTTCCCTGTCTCCAAGGGTCCATGGGCTGAACTGTGCTCCTTACTGCTTTTTTCCATAGAAAAGAAAAGACACACACATACAGTATGAAGGCTTCCTAATGGAAGCTGAATATACCATCAGCTGAAGGCTACAAAAAATGTACGCAGGATCACAAGAAAAACATTCGATGGACTGAGCACTAGCAGGCCCTAAATACAAACCCTACAACCACAAATGAAACACACAAGGTCTTCTGAGTAACATCAGAAGGGGCCTTTTATTCATCTGTACTATAATACTGAGTCACAGAACTGTTAAAAGATGTAAAAGAAGGACTCTATATATAAGCTTCAGCTAAAGGTATACTTTTAAGTGCATATAGGTTAAAATACAATTCTGGTAAGCCACTTGGAATAATATCCCATGCCCACTGGAAAGAATTTAAACCTAACTGCACTAACAGTTTCAAGGAAGGCCAAACAATTTCCTAGGCTTTGCAGGAGCTCTCCTCACCCACCTTAGAAAGGAGGAGGAAATTACAACTCAGCATATTAGCCTGTAATGTCAGTTTCTGTGCACTTCTGGTTCAGAATCACAGAATTGTTTAGGTTTAAAGAGACCTCCAAGATCAGCCCAACCTTTGACCAATCTCCACCTTGTCAACTAAACCACAGCACTAAGAACCACATCCAGTCATTTCTTGAATACCTTCAGACAGTGATCCCACCACCTCTCTGCACAGTTTGTTCCAATGCTAAACAACCCCTTCTGTGAATAAATTACTCCTGATCTCCCACTTGAACCTCTCCTAGCTCACTTGAGGCCATGCCCCTTCATCCTATTGCTCACTGCCTGGGAAAAGGGATCAATCCCCAGCTGGCTACACCCTCCTTTCAGGCAGCGGTAGAGAGTGATAAGGTCACCCCTGAGCCTCCCCTACTCCAGACTAAACAATCCCAGCTCCCTCAGCTGCTCCCCCCAAAGACTTGCTCCAGACCCTTCACTACTTGTGCTGCCTTCTTTAGACACACCAACAACCTCAATATCTGCCTTGAATTGAGGGGCCCAGGACTGGACAGTATTTGAGGTGAGGCCTCACCAGTGCCCCCAGACAGAGGACACAGTCACTGGCCCTGCTGGACACACTAATATGCTGTGGATGCTTGTAAGACCAGATTCAGGACACATATAAGCACAAATGTGTTGTGCAGAAACCCAGTGCAGCTCCCCATACCATTGCCACCAGTCACATTCCTTCCTTCACTATTATACCAACAGCATTTAAGCAAATTAAGCTGGAAAAGTCCTACTAAAATCCAGAAGAGCCCAAGACACTTAAACTGCAACATTCGGACGCAGCAAAACCTCTGTGACTGAGCACCACTTGGACCAAAGAAATGATGGGGGAAGGGGGAAGAGGCTGCTGAATGGAAAAGCACTCATGAAAACACACACATGAATAGCAAAGGGACATTTTAATTCCTGTCAGCAACGAAAAAGCTTTCTGCTGACTAAGGGCATGGCTACATAGCATAATGCACAGCATTCTGCCTGCCTGAGTTAACTAACTTATTTAACATGGCCACGCTGTCTCCTTTCACTTGGGGATAAACTTCACCATCCCCATACAGTATCTAGAGTGTATTATACAGTGCATTAATGCAGTGCAGTATCATAGACTGCATTAAATAATGCAGTAAGATTACATTTTAACAACTCTCATTTGAAATATTACAGTTCTCCAGAAAGGGACTGATCACACAAAACTGACACTTATCCCAAATACATCCTCTTTCTTTACACACACACTCAATTTATTAACAACTTATGTTTAGACTTTTGCTGTAATTTGCCCTGAAAGTCAGAAGAATCATCTGAATTTTATTCCTCATTACATTAAAATGCAAAGTTATAAGCTGCATTCATTGTGTAGTTATCCCCAAAAAATTTGATTTTTACCATAAGAATGGAATAGGCATATAAATGAATAAAACCCACTAAGGTCTCTCAGGCAACAGCAATACTTTCCCAAGAGCGACAACTTGCCTGTGAGAATATAGTTCCCAAAATGCACCACTGCTTTCAAAAAGACAGCAAAAAAAAAAAAAAAAAAAAAAAGAAAAAAAAAAGAAAAACAACATTCAAATCCCATGTAGGAATATGCCTGCAAATTTGAAAGGGCACTGAAGCCTGTTCCTCTGCTCTGTTACTACCTCTCTGGAAATACTGAGCTTCATCTGAAAGACTTAGCTGCAAATCTAGCAAAGAATGAACACCAATATCAACATCTCAATTAGCTCTTGTAATTATAATGTTGACATGAAGGGTTTGAACATTCTGGGCTTCTGCTTTTGTGTTAGGTTTTCTGGTTCATGTAATTGGTCAGAAAATATTCTGGTCTGATAAAAGCAGCAGCTAGGAGTTGAGTAGTACCTCAAACAGATTCTTAGAGAATCATTCAGCCAAAATCCACAAGGCTGCTGCAGTGTTTGAATAATGCTTTGCCATAGCATTCACAAACACATTTTCAGTGAATACATTTCTGCTCAGGTCAAAGTTCACCCTTAGTAACAGAAAACATCCTGGTGTGACCTCTGAAAAGCAAAGTTATTTAAGGGAAACTACTGCAGAGAATTAGCTGTATACGAACAATGCATAAAACAGAGAGGAAGATAAATACTATGTACTCAGCAGATAATACTCAATTTTAGCTTGACAAGCAAAACTGAAATAGCTCAAGAAATCTGAGTGGCCAAATGCACTTCCTTTAGCACAGAGTTGCAGAAGTATCAAGTAGCTGAAAAATAATTTCAAAATGTCCTTAATTCAGATAGATGAAGTGGGAGAGCAAGGTCTGCATGTGAACTTGAAACTAGGAAGAACTTAATCCAATCTTTCTTATCTTCCCATGTACCTGCATCTTTAGTCACAATCTGCTGAAGCTTGCACAGTTCATTCACATCAGAAAAACGTAAGGAACAATCAGGAGGAAAAATCAGTCTAAAGGATGAAAATGTGCAATACCTCTAATCGCTGTATCCTTCCCTTGAAGAACATGAACAGAGAAGAATTTGGATATGCAGATTCTTTTTTGGCAAGAATTTCTTTTGCCTCCTTCAATCCTGCCTTGTTATCGCTGCCATCAAGGGCAAAAAAGGGACGAACAACTGTGTGGTACCACAACAGAGCTAATCTAAAAGAAATGTAAGAGTAAAAAGGATTACAGCTTGTAAACAGAAATTTAAGGATAACATTCTACACAGACAAACTTTTAAATTATTCTGGAAGACAAAGATAGATATGAATCTTGTATTATAAAATCTGGCTTTATACTTTAAACACAATACTACTGCCATACATCAATGTACTCCTAAACTGCACCTGAACATACAATTCAGAGCACATTACACAAAGGCAAAGAAACAATTGAGCTCATAGCATGAAAGCAGTTGAGCCTTTAGATCTCAGTAGATTTTAGAAAAGAAAAACCCACATTAATACTTTGAAAACTAACTCTTTACTAGAGAGGGAAACAAAAAAGCCAAACAAAAAAATCCCAAAGCAAACAACCCCAAAACCAAACAACCAAAAAAGCCCTGACAAAAATCAACAAAAAACCCTGAACACACATCAGCAGATACTCCTGAAATCAATGTGAAAAAGAAACATATCCTGTATTCAGAAGGGTAGATATTTACATGACCTACATCACTCCTGGAAACAAAGGCAGAGCACAAAGATTTCTGACTATCTGAAGGAGGAAACATTCCCCAAATATATCATTTTTCTCCTCCAGAAAGGAGAAAGATCAACAGGAATATTTAATCCTAAGATTTCTGAAACAAACAGAATCCCAATTTTTCTCCTGAAGCAGAAGAGACTTCAGCTCTACTGTCATGTTTCAAAATTGACACCTGATGGTACCTGCAGTAGGTCCAGTAATAAAAGCATTAATTTTTAGATAATGGAATAACAAAGCCATTTATGAGGGCAGTTTAAATTAGGTCTGGCCAATCCTTCAGCTCTTGAAAAGACGTGAGCATAGTATGAAGTCTTGGGAAAAAGAATACACAAAAAACACTCCCTTAAAAATACTATAATGAACATCTCATTTCACTGAAACAAAAAAAATTAAAACAACTGAAAATGTTTTGTGTTAGTAATAAGAAAAAATGGCTAAATGAGACCAGTGACTCATACTAAGCAGTATGCTCTCCACAGCAGAGAATGTAACTGAGGTAAATTCACAGAGCCTTCAGGAGGAGGTTTTGTTTACTCTGCTGGCATTTAAATTCCAGGACATTAGAACTGCAGGTACTGAAGAATACGGCAAAATACTGACCCAAACCCCAAATACATGTAAATAATTAACAGCAGAGATCTCATACATTAGTGAGTGATGAATTTACTAAACCATGGTATGTTAAACAACAAACTACCAGTTTATTTTACCTGCTGTTGTTTCCTTTAAAGCAACATGACTTTTTGGTTTTGACTTTTTCCCAGTTACTTACTTTTAGTACTAAGTTATCTACCAAAGCATTTCAATATAGCTACTCACGTAGCTAAAGGGGCCTTCATGTCCTTACTTTCACTTGCATACATCAGTGAGGAAAGCCCCTGTAGGCGGTCTCCAGGAAAACCCAGCAGGTTGATGATTTTGAGCAGGTTTGGGGGCACCATGGATATGCAAAGATGAAAAAGTCCATATCCAAAGCTAACAGCACCTTTCAGTCTGTTTAGCGAATCCTCCGTTACACCTTCTGCAGCAATATGATTATCATTTGCAGCATCAGAAGTCAAGGATTCCTGAGTTGTTTTCTTCTGATATATTTCCTGAAGTGTATTAATGTCCGTATAGCACTTATTGTAAATTTTCCAGGCTTTTCGGAGTATCCACCCACCTTTTATGTATGCTAAAAAAAAAAAACCAAGGAAGAAAGAAAGAAAGAAAGAAAGAAATACTTTCAGGACATATTTCAGAAGTGGAACATCCTAAGAAATAAATTCTATTTTCCAAGCCCAAGACGCTCTCTCTATTTGCAACAACTTAGTGCATACAGGATTTTGTAATAGCTACTGCTCCCTCAGAGAGGTCTTGCACAGTGGGCACTATGAAGTTCAGTGTGTACAACCACAGACTTTACAGCAGCACACAACACAGAGGCAGCAGCTCCGGTCAGCGACACGGCAATACAGCTGTCAGAGAGAAAGAAAGCAATCAAAGAACTTCATGCTGGATTTTGCTCCACTACAGGGTGCAGATGAAACAGCTGCCTAGCAGAGAGAAGCACAACTCAGAAGAGATTATACCACCTCTCTTAAGCCCAAATTATATTAAAACGCAGTTGATGGGAAAATACAAAGAAAAGCCTTTTCCTTTGGGTTAGACAGTAAGATTTTCAATATTGTCCCTTCCGTGCCCTTTGCATGAACACAGTGCCCTACAATTAACAAAAAGAAAACCCACACAAAAATTACATGGTTTTAAAGTATAGTTCAGTTGCCTAACTTCCTCAATTTCAAAAGCAATGTGGATATCTGAATTTCCCTAGAAATCTGGTCTTGAGCATTCTTGTTTGAGAATGACAGCATTCTCAGCCTGTGATCTTTACAGCAGGGTAAAGAAAGGCCTGACATCAAAAGGCGAAGATGTTCAATTTGCCTATTTACACAGCAATCATCTTTGTTATAAGCACACCCTCTAATAATGCTAAGTGTTAAACATGAAACGAATGGGGAATATCCTTGCACACATCAGCTGTAAAAACAGACACCAGCATTTTGGCTGTGACAGGGCCCTGAGAGTGAGGAACTGCAGTGACAAAGACTAACTAAAAATATAACAAAAACATGTTTCAAGCAGCAGTGTTCTAAACAAATATAGCCAGATTTGCAAAGATCAGTGTTATAACTAATGCCAGAATTAGACCATAACAGGTGGGGTGTGTCAAAGTAAAGCAAGATGCTATTAATACCAAACAACCCTATAAAAGCCTTTGATGCCTTTGACAAAACCCCTCCCAAATCACAAAAAAAGCCCAACATTTCTAGACAAAGTAACATCACAGACTAGACTGCCTCTTTTTGGATTCTTGCTATACGAAGAGGGCATGAAGTTAGTTTGATAGTCTTAAACTGTACAGAAAAAGACTGTAAAATTTGAATTCTCAGTTATGACAGAAGGGGTCTGTCAACATGAACTTGGAAGTATTTAAAAAAACAATGAATCCTCTCTCTTGAGATGAGTATTAAAGCATTAGAATAAAAAATGAACCCCCCAATCTTGATTCAGTTGCATTACAAGACAAACATGACTCCAATTTTAAGCAATTAGGTCACTTTTTGGCTGCACAGAGTGCCTTAAAAGTTATGTGGTTCACCACAAGATGAATGCTCACACAACTATGCACAGCAGAGTAGCACACAGGTAATAAGAAAAACCCCATATTTTACCTATCCTACATATAATGATTCTGGCCAGAGCTAACCACTGTATTCCAATGCAAGCATAAAATGGAAAAGATGTGGTATGGTGGAAAAAAAAGTACAGTTTTACACTTTGCTTCCATTAGTGTGCTGTCATTAACAGTTCCCTAACACAGCATAACCATAATTTATATGATATTGATATACCAATATAAAATAATCTAACAAATTAAAACAAGGAATTTCTGACTTTTTAGATATAAAAGTTAAACCCAGCCAAATCACTGAGTTGATTTCCCAACCTGAAAGTAGTCAGACCCATGACAGCCATGGTAAATACTAAGAGAAGGTAGTTCAGTATTGCCAGGAGAAGCTAATGTCATTTGGTCTGCCAACAACTTTATGATGAAACTATTTCTAATACATCCACGAGGGTGGAAAAGAAAATATAAAATGTGTGAAGCATGTGAGAAACCAACTTGCGTGGCATCATATGCTACTTGTCAAACTGTTCCAGGAAGAAAAACACAAGGAATTTTTCTCTCATCCACTGATCAGAAATATTTATCTCCTGGGGTTTTTCCATGAAATTACATTCATTTCAATAATCTGGTTGCTATTTCTGTGCAGAAATATGATAAAAACAAAAAATGTATATACATTAACAGAAAGATAATATACTTTAAAACACAAAATAATGGATACAATAGCTCAGCAATATCAGTAACCAGCAGTCACTGAGGTAGCATTTAGCTGCTTGGAATTTTAACTAAAGACTACAGGTGTATTTTTTGCTCAGTAGAATAACCCAAATATACAGCATGTTCTGCAATTCTCTACTACCCACTTCAGTTCTCTGAGCTGCAGACAAGAGAGAAAGGGAACAGACACCACCTTCAGTTACAGCATCCAACCCAGTTATGCAGCTGCAGAATACATACTGAAACAAGGGAAAAAAGCTTCAAGAGCTAGGGAAAAAATAACCACCACAAACAAAAACCCAGAACTGCATCAAAAATAGCAAGAAAACTCTTCTGCAGCACAACACAAAGTAGACAGAAATATCTCCTGAATTTCTGCTGACAAGAACCAAACATATTCTTGATGCCATAGCTTGGAATAAAACAAGTCTGCACATCACAGAATGCATTATATCCTTGACTGAAAATTTAAAGTGTTATTTTAAATAATCTGAATGTTATTTCGCCATTTCCTTGCAGCTGATCAGCAGTTTGGTCTGTCTGCCATCTCTTGGTCTTCATTGATTTGGTAGAAACCTGAGATATGTTTCCAGTTACTATATGACCTTGACCAAAGTTCCTATAAACTTACAGATAGAAGCATGTTTTAAGATTGTGCAAGAGATGCAGGAATGTAAGAAAACATCAGAAACAGTTCTGCAGTTGAAAGGAAGGGTTTGTATCCAACACGACAGGATTACCCTCTTTGGCATGCAAGGATGCACTCTGGTGACCAGAGAGTAAGAACTGATTCAGCAGTTCCATGTTCAGCACATTCATTTAAAATTGCTTTCATTGGCACTTTGTCACCTCCCTGAATTGTCATGAACAGAATACATATGGAACATCAGGATTTTCCCAGTGGCCTGGATTTAATAGCCTCTTTTATCTTGCAGGCCACAAAGCACACAGATGTACCCATCTCCATCCCAACTTCTCCAACACCTCTACGATAACAAGTAAACTTGTCTAAGGAGAACCAATTGAATATATTTATTGGTATGAAAAAAGAAAAAAAGCCCTAATTTGCAGCAATCCATCTCATTTTTCACCACTACCTACACAAAGGTGGAATACCTCTCTAAGTGTACCAGTCTTGGAATGTTTCAAATGGAACTGTGCTTATAAAACAATTATTTTTACTGAAAGCCATATGGTTATTTTATGATCAAGTTTTATAAAAAAGACATGCTAAAATATATCTAAATATGAAAGCCACAGCACACCTGATAACTCTTGTTTTACAAACGAGAGCACAGCCAAGTAGACTTGACAATCTGCTACAATTATTTGTCTTTGTAGACGATCTATCATGGATAGAGTAGATTTTCGTCCATCAACCTGTTTGGAACATACAAACACAAAGCACAGTAAAATATTAATGAAGATAATACACAATACTTGTTTAAATCTGAGAAATTAAAAAAATCCAAAATTAACTGCAAGTGGTAGTATTGCTACTAAAATAACTCAGCATTTTGAAGTTCAAAACTACACTAAAATTTCTCAGACAGATTATCAAGCAAAATCCTACTCAACAGAGAAATTTTACACATACACTACCACTTATTTTCCCCAAGGTTCAACAAATTGGCATAACATATTTAAATTTTATTTAATTATTACTAAATGCATAAGACATGCAATTAAGAGATATTAGACAGGAAGAGCACAGAAAAGGGTGTATGACCAGTGGCAGGGTAAATACAGCGCCTCTTAAGAGGAGAGAGTTAAGTATGACAGGTTAACCACTTTTCACCTAGCAAACTAAACACTGAAGAGAAATGGCTTCTTTTTCTGCTGTGTCACACTTGGCAGCCTGCTCACTGGATGCTTCTATACAGCTACTTTAACTTGTTCTGAATCTCCATGCTTTATTCTTCCTTTATTATTTAGAATGAAAAATCTAAAAAAGGAAGGAAAATTCCCTAGGAATATGCCTGGCTCACAGCAATCTGCAGCCTCAACATCACAACTTTTGAACATTACGAGAGCATGGATGAATTAAAGTTAGCCTAAATTAGACAGACTACCAGCTTCCTGAAATAATTTTAGTAGGTTACAAATTTGCATGTGCAGGAAACAATTACTAGCATCAGCAAAACCTGACACTTTAGAAGACACTTCACTCACCTGAGACTGAGTATTTTAGAACAAATAGGAAATACAAGTAAAATATTTGACTGAATTTCCAAATTTATTAATAATCTCAATGGCTCTTCACATAACAAAAATCATCTTTTCAATATACAAATAGGACAGAAAGGAAGTTTCCAGAAAAAAATATTTAATACACAAATTATGTTCTTACATTCTTTTTAATTTTATTCTTGATTGTTTCTATAACTCCAGCTTCTTCACTTTCACAAAGTTTCTCTGTAGCCTTTAAGTCATCACATGCCAGTTGCATTTTCTCCTCTTCAAATGTCATCATGGCATTCTATTAAAAAACAAGCACATTTGAATAATAAAAACCACAAATACTTTTATTTCTACAAAAGCTGTAGGATAGTAAAAATTTTCATAAAAACTGGACAATAAAACTTTTTAGCCTGAAGTAGTAATATACATACATCAGTGCAAACACTTCTTAGCACATAAACATCACACTAGAAAGTTCAGATCTTTACCAAGATTTCAAGACAATGAACTCAGAACAAACTAAGGGAAAACCTTCATCTTAGACCTTTATATACAGTCAAACTGAATGAACCATCAGATTACTTTAAGCAGAAGAAAAACTCCTATACATTCATTTTTAATTTTTGTTATGTAAGGCATGGTTTGCATCTCTGCAAGTATCTGTTGTTATTCATTCATATAAAAAACAGGCCTTCAAAGTCAGTAACAACAAGCAGCTATTAAATTCTTCAAAATAATAGCCACAGTCCCTCCACAGGCAAGAAGAAAAAGAAACCACATCTGACTGCAACTACTGCTGAACCAACTGAAAAAAATTTCAGGACAAGTAACGTCTTTTCTTGGAGCTTATTAAACAAAAGCTCTGAATGACACAGGCACACCAAGTGCTATTGCTATATTTAGAACAGCAGCTAAGCAAGATACTTTCAAGATCCTCTGATGCTGCACTGGTTCAGCACATCAATTCAGATAAGCAAGCCTGAGAGATTCTCTCTTTCCCCTCTCCTCCACACCAACTTAAAAGGAAGCATATGCCCCAGGAGGTCTCCTAACCAGTGTATTTTTCCATATTGCATACTAGAGAGAATTCATATTTATTTCATTCACACATCATGTATTTCTGGCATATTATAGTAAATTCTGTAAATTTTTCAAAATAGTATTACCATAGATAATTTCTGGTGAGATCTAAGATGAAGCAGCAAAGTCAGAATAAAGACAGTCTAAAAAACAAGATCCAAACACTTTCTAATACACCTGCTCAGTTTTTATACATGGCATTATAATTCCTTGTAAGTTATATAAAAAAAAGCATTTAACAAACCTAATTTGTTCACTATGACTTTTTAGTAAATCTATCTTCTCAGTTCTCATCTATCCAAAATGGAAGCAACGTGAATGGATTGAATTAACAATTTTCACCCAGAAGTACAGATGGAGAAATCTTCAATAGCAAAAGTTACCAGAAAAACAGGCATTCATGAGTTTTATTTTAATCAAATAAATAAATAACTCCACTGCTCACTTAAGAGAACTTTTTATTATGGCTCTGTTAATGGAACACATAAATATTTAATACATTTAAGCTGAATAGCAGAACCTTTACTTTCTATTTAAACCACATGGGTAAACAAGCTTTACATAGCATAATGCCTCATTCTCCAGCTATGTTTAACCTATAAATTTGGAAAGAAATAGTCTCAGAAAAAGAAAAAAAATTAGAGTATTATGAACACATGTATGCACATACAGCCATGAGATGTATATTCTCTGCTCTCATCTACTCACCAAAAAACTGACAAAACTGGCTCCAAAACTCATTAATGGGCTATGGTTTCTGTAAACAAAACAAAAAATAGTTACTATATTTGTACATATTTCCTGTAATAAAGACCCATATTGAATTCCTTAGGTTTAGCTTGCACGTTTGTAAGTAAGTCTTGATGGGTATTTTGTATCAAGTTACAAAGATATCTGCAAAACATAATGGAAACAGAAAACCAAAAGCTTCATATATCTTACTATACTGAATATATCTTACAAAAATAACTTTTCAGTATTACAATGCAGCATATTTTAATTACATATTTTAAGAGAAACCACTGCCATCAAAATACATTCAGTTCAGGTCAAAATAAAAAGCTACAAAACATTAAAAATCTGCCAATTCTACTCTCTTCTTGTAATTCACCACTACGATCTTGTCCTAGAAAACCAATGGTAACTGGTTCTATTAAGAGAGTCCCATTTCCAACTGTTTCTATGAATTTAAGTCAACCTATCCACTAAAAAAATGTGTCTACTACATAATGAAGTTGTTGTAATACAAGGTTCTTAAAAGGCTTATAGTTTTGTAGCTGTTTTGTTTCAAGCTCAGAATCCATATCTTTCTACCCTGTGTGGATCAGCTTTAAGATGTTTCAACCTATACTGTTCACAGGGCTTTTCCCAAGGGTGAAATCACAGCTAGATCAAAAAATTCAGGCAACCAAAACCATGGTGATACACCAGACACATTTCATGAGGCTACAGTAATGCCACACAGAAGGCACTTAAAAAAAAAAAAAATTAAAACATCAGGACCTCAGTGGTACACCAGTGATTCACAGCCCACCAGTGGTGGGCTGCCAGGTTATATAAAAACAGACTTCCAGGATCTAAGAAGTATAATTTGGGCTAAAGAAACATATACTGCTACAGTAAAGCACCCAATTTGTGTTCAACTTTATTCTACAAGCATTATATTAAAGCAGAGTTTTAAAATAGCAGAGATATTTGAAAAACACAGAGAAAGAATTGCATTGCTAAAACACAAATTTCCAGTAGCGAACCTGTATTATACAATACAAGAGTAGTTTGGCTGTTTGGTGTTTTGTTTTTTTAAAAGAAGCAATGTTTCCCCCACACACCTTTTCTCACTTTTGATTTAACATAAATATCTAAAAGCAAGACCATGAACAAGAATAATGAGAAAGAAAAACAGGGAAGACAAGCAAAGCATGCTGTAACAGGAAAAACCTTCCCTTTTTATACACACTGCTCAATTCTATATATACACCTAAATGTAAGACCAATACAACTTGTCACATTTTCCCATTCTTTTTTCCAAAGGAAAAAGAGGTGGAGTACTTCCCCCTTTGATAGCAGGCAACAAAGAACAGCTGCCAGCAAATGTCTCTGCTTCTCAGTACCTGGACTGTGTTCTCCCAGCAGCTGTGTTCCACAGGGCAGCAGCAATCAGCCACACAAACTGCACTTGCTGCAGCTGGCACTTCCAGCATGAACCCCTGCTCCAGAGGGGACATGGCTCCCTCATAATCCCTTTCTCAACCCATGAGGTATGTGGGACCATCCAGCAGCCAGTCCTACCACCATACTCCCAGCACAACCTTCACCACACATTCCAAGGTCACACCTGCATTATCAACACCCAACTGATCTAAAACTGCAGAACAGATCAGCACAACACCACACAGATTGTTTTTATGTCTCTAAGAACAAAGCTGCTTTTACATCACATTTCAAAGAAGCTCAGAAATAAAGCAAATGTTTTGTTTTTGTGTTTCCTCAGATCCACTTACACAGAACACAAGCAGTTCTGGGGGGTTAAAAAACATTAATGTCAAAAACTGAGACAGTTAACTATAGTTGAGAGCCAGCTGTTCTTTAAAGAGTGCAAAATATACTGAAGCAATGAAAATTTGCCCAAGTATTCCAATGTATATTTGTCTGAGTACAGCTGAGTTTCTTCCCCAAGTACATACTTACCTTTTTCATCTGACCTTTCAAAACTGCTTCCACACTTGCACTCTTGACACTCACTGCTACTTCTGCTCCCAATTCATCCCCCATGATCAAAGATGAAACAACAAAAAAATCAAGAGCCACTTTATTATTCCATTCTGAAATTATCAGTAGCTATAATACATGAGTTAAATGTCACACATCAGTTCTTTTTAACTTTCACTTACACAATCTATAAAAAGCATTGCCATTACAGCACATATGGGCTGCAGCACAAAAGGACCCTGAAGCAAAGAAACATGATGCATAATATTATCCTGTGTCTGGAGATGGTTCTGTTGAGACCATTAAGTTTGGCAATCAAAATATCAAAACTTTACTGTAGGAGTCCCCCACACAGAGTTTGTGTCATCACTAAGGAAAATCAGGAACACTACTAGCACATTCCTACATAGTCACTTGGTAGAAACTGTAACTGCAGCTTTATGGAAGATCATTTAGTAAGGTAATTTCAGTGCTTAAAATACAATTTTAAATAATAACCATGTTATGTGCTCAGTCTTTGTAAGTATTATGTTGACTGATAAACTCTTCAACAGGTTAAGGTCATCTTTTCGTTGACAGCTAGGAAAAGTTTCAAATGGCACAGTACTGTCCCAGTAAAAACTGAGGTGTGACTAATGATGACAGTAGGTTTCTGGGAAAAACACAATCCCACAGAAAGCTCAAGCTCCTTGTAAGTGACCTTCAGCTTCAAACATGAAGCTTCATCCTATTTGACAGACAACTCCAAAGTTGTTAAGAAACAAAAAAATGAGGCAGCACTTGAGAAGATATTAACAGCAAACCAAGGGCTGCATCAATGCTCACAGGAGCTATGGAACCGAATACAAATTAACACTGGGACACTGCACTACCCAAGTTGTCCTCATGACTTTGAAAGCAAAAGCCTCCTTTAAGTAAAGAAAAATCTCAAGACTTTTAATTAGCTCAAAGATGAAAGGAAAAAAAAAATCAGTCTCCAGACATATTTTGTAAAACACAGTTTGCACTTCACCTGGGAAACTAGGACTCAGAAGATAACTTTTTTATAAGAAAATATGGTATTAACACCATTACTGCAAGATACCACAGTAAAAGGTCCAATAAAGTTGGCATGTGTAACTAAACTTAAATCAAAAACTTAAGAGCACTGAAGTAGAACTTTCTTCCAGACATATAAATTAGCATTACACAAGACATGGCTTCTCCCAAAAAACCCTGACTGATTTGCCTCATTTCATAGCATATATTTAAGGTATTAACTCACTTTCAGAAGAAAGGTGTCCACTATGCCCCATTTGCACACATGATGATAACATTCAGGGGTTTTAAGCTTTGGTTTAATAATGCTGACATAATACAGCCCAGTTTCATGATTAAAAAATACATCTGAACTGAAGCACATAAAAACAAACCAAAAAAAAATCAATTACTTCTCAATATTTTCTTTTTTTTTTTTTTCCTACAGCTATTTCCAAGACAGTATTTCACTTCTTCACATCAGCTTCTAAAGCTACTACAGTCTAGCTCAGGTTTAAATTTAGAGCAATGTAATTAATTTGCCAACACTTCCTCACTGTTTTTCTAGTCATAGCTACTTTAACCACAGTCCATCAAGAATTCCAGCCATCATGCTGAGAGTGATGCTCAGGTTGAAACAAAACTAATTAATTCTGTCCACAAAGTAAAAGAATAAAGCAAAATGGCATAATTCATCTAAGTTCACAGATAAATATAGAAGCAGGAACTGAATATTTTAAAACAAGGCATAAAATATGTAAATAGAAAGGTAAGGAATTTACTGCAACAACATACAAATCCTTTGGTCATTATTCCATCACAGATTATTTTAAAATGTGTTCTAGAAATTGTTTGTGAGACTACAAAGATGACAGAGACATGTATGTACACCTCTCATCCAATACTGGTAAATGAAATACCCATGGTAATAAAAGTGTTATGGAAGCATTACAGTACTTTATCACATTGAGAACTGCAAATATCAGATCTAGGTTTAGTTTACATTTCATAATCATCCCAAATTTGTTTTGTTAAATGAACCCTCAGCATACATTTCTATTTTTACTAGGAATATACAACCAGAAGAGAAATTCAGGAATATAAAAATAATTCTGTGGCCCTGCTCTATCCAGTTTTTATCCGATTTGTTTTGTCCTCCTGCAAATTAACAGGAGATTGTTTTGCTCTAACTTCAGGCTATGAACTTTAGACACACAACATCAAAACACTGGAGATTAGGAGAAGAATTTTCAATTGTATGTTTAATTTGAAAACTAGTTACAAAGGTGAGAGACAAGCTAGTTATATCAGCAGATTTGTACTAATTCTCCACTTGCACTCTCTAAATCTGTCAGAATTGGGGACTTAAGCAAAACCTTTTTTTCCCAACCTGACCAAAATCACTTTCCATGACCAACTGCAGCATCTTAACTGACATCATGTAACTTCTTTAATACCTTGAAAATCCTGAGGTAGATTAAAACAAAAACGTATCTATCCTATTACAATAGCCTGAAATATTTTCCCAGAAGCAGCAGATCAATGAGTGGGTGCACTAACATGAGTAAAAAGTCTTTAAAGCATTTGCATTTTTCACAGAATTAATTTAGGAAGATCTGCTTACTATCACACCTCTTCTGCCATCTTCAAACCTGACTTCTAACCTCTGAGTTATAAACCCAGATTTTAGTTTAGCTTTCTGTCATCTTCCCTTGGACTTCTAGCCACCAGATACTGCTCCATATTCTACCATTTTCTCTGGCAACACCACCTGTCTCTGTCAAGAAGTCCACAAAAGTGATCATCTCTGCATACCCAGCTCCTTGAAGATTTAAACTGCAGAATACTTAAAATATTACTAATCTATCCAAATAGCCAGAAAACTGATGCTGGTTTGATGTGCATCGTTATTACTATTACTCTGCCTGGCACTGAGCAATGAAATCTTGTCTCACTGGGGTACACATTTAGAATACTGCTATTAAAAATCACTTCCCTTACAAATAACTCCCTTTTCTATACATCCATCTA